CATATATATATACTAATAAAAGAGAAACATGCAAATTGGTGTCACTCTGCTACGCCCACCAGCCAATCAGAGCAACTATGCAAATTAACCCAACAAAGATGGCGGTTAATTTGCATACGCAGCCGCGGAGCGAAGACTGAAGACTGAAGAGGCTTGGCTTCTCCGCTGCAGCTGGACCAAAGGCCTGGGTCCTGGGTGCCGGAGGAAAACTGGTGCCGGCAGCCAGGGGAAGGAAGGCCTACTGTGCGAATCTTCATGCAACGGGCTTCTAGTATATATCTATATATATACATATATATATGTATATATATGTATATATATGAACTATGTCTAGGAAACAACCTTGGGTATGGTTACTGGCACATAGAACTGATTGGAGCCAAATAGAAGTCAGCTAAGTTTTTGAGAGAAGCTTATTGCTAAAGAAACCACGAACCAAAACAAAATAAGCCACTCGTTGTCTGAGCCTTAGAATAGTATTTGGACACAGGCTTCGAAGGCTCCTAGGAGAGTGTGCTCCCCAACACTGACCTCAGATGCAGCCATAGAGAATAAAGGACAGGAAGGGCAATGGGCCAGGGAGCTCTCCTATAAAGCAAGGTGCTGGCCTAATCAATGTCTGCCCAGCAGGATTCCACAATTAGTACAGAGAAGTGACTGCTGTGTCTCCCACTCTTCCTCTTTCCATATGGGAAGGTTGATGGTGCCTATCCTCTTCCTGCTCCATCATTGTATGTGGGGTGTGGCGATCGGGGGCAGATAACTTGTTTCAGTTCATAGGCCACTTAACCAAGAAGAACTAGACCCAGACTTGAGAGAAGCAAGCATCACACAGATACTCTGGACTTTGAGCTGGACAAGGTTAGGACCTGATTTGAGTCTTGGGGAAATGTTGTGCCACAAGTCAGGTGTCCTGGAAGCGGACAGTGAGCTAGGACTTTGGCACACAGGGTATTATCAGTGATCAATGCCTGTGGAGGGTAGCAGGGGGGAGGGGGGAGGAGAAGTTCAACTGCCTTGCAAGTTCAATGAAGCCTTGGTTGACCCCATCAGAGCTGCCCACATTAGCCTGAAATAGCTGGGCCCGTACAACCTCACCTCAATGCGTTCATGGATGTGGGAAGTGTAGGCAGCTCTTGACAGCTGAAGCAAACCCTGAAATTGCTAACAGCTAGCAGCTGAGTATTGATTGACAGCACTCTCGGCAGCTGGAAAAACCAGGTCGTTTCCAAGGGGGGAGTCTGGGTGGCATGGTTCCGTGCGCACTACAGGGCGGCTGCGTTCTGTGTATGGAAGGAAGAGTGAAACAGGTATCGGTGGTCAGGAAGACAGACTGACGGAGACGGGCTATACGTCCACCAGCCCTATTCCTTCCTCGTAAACGCAGAGGAAGACTGCATTTCCCAGCTAAAGAAGCCAGGACTCAAGTTGTTGTAGGTGGAGGGAACAGAGCCAGGTGTCTGACCTGTGGGGTCAGACCAACCCTGGGTTCAGCAACCTCGGTTCTTGGGTTCTGGCTAGGGAGGAATTCAGAGCAAGATCCAAACTGTAAGAGAACGTTTCTTTGGTAAATTATAGAGGCAGAATAGTAATTCCTAGATGAAATGGGCTTAGGAAATGAGGTATGAAAGTTTAAAAAAATAAAAGGGTCTTTGGAGCTTGGGAATGAGAAAACTAAAGGTAACTTGCCTGGGGCAGGGAGGGGGAGGGAGAAGGGAAAGGGAAAGGCCTGAGCATGCTCCCGGGGCGGAGAGCGCACTGGGTCCTCCATCCTAAGGGTTTTAAGAGCAGAATTTTAGGGGAGGTCCCAGGGGAAGATCTCAATAGAATATGCAGCAGTTTTCCAGGTGTGTCCTTGCAGGGCTGTGGTCTCCACTGATTGATGGGCCGGCACCAGAGCAGGGGGCCATCATTCCATGCAGCTGGTCCTGAGGTCAGCCTGTGGCTGGTTTGGGCGCTTTTCTGGGTCTGGAGCTGAAATTCAACTGAGGCCTGATGTCATCTCTAGGGAGGAAAGGCCAGGGGCTCCAAACCTCATGACCAGCGATCTGCTAGGGGAGGGAAGGTCACCCTGGGGGCGAGGTCCCATCGCTCCATTCATTGTCCATTGCTGGGCACCTGGGGCTCTCCACCCTGGTGGTCTTCTGTACCTGGCCCATCGTCCTGGCTCTGAGCATGTCTGTCTAACTGCCCACAACAAAGTCAAGATATATCTGATTCTGTACCTTTTAAGTCATGTTACTGAAACTATGGCCAGCCGGCCAGCTGCATGCGAAACATCTGAAGGATTGGTTAAAATGCACATCCAGAGGCACTTCTGTGAAGATAAAGCAGGCAACTGGGCCAAGAGAAATACTTTCTCCTTTGAAGTAAATGGCTCAGCCTGAGGAGAAAACCCAATGAGCCCCCACGGGGAACAAGCTGCCTAGTGAAAGGCACATCAGGGCAATGAGGGTATGAGGGCAGGCCAGATAGAGCAAAACCAAAGCAGATATTGAGGAAAAGTTGGAGGTTTGGAATGCAGGATCAAAAAAGCCGGTACTATGAACTAGAGATAAACAAAGACTTTAATGAAAGTAAGATCAGAGAGAAAATGATAGATGCAGGAGACAATTTCTTTGTAGAGGAAAAGCAAAATAATACAACAGAAAAGAATACTCCAAGGTCTAATTTTTTTTAAATGTTGCAGGAACAATTGGCACTTGGCACTGGGGCATGTGGTAGACTCTCATAGTACTTGTTGATTTTTTTTTTAATCCTCACCTGAGGATATTTTTTCCATTGATTTTTTTCTAGAGAGAGTGGAGGGGAGGGAGCAGGGGGTATGGAGAGAGAGAGAGAGAGAGAGAGA